GTGAGTCTCCCACCGCTTGACCTCTCAATAGGAAATCGAACCACATTAAAGTCACCTCCTATACACGTTGGTAGATTCCACCAAGCCATCATTCCAGCAAGTTCATCCCACAAGCCCCGTCTACCATCATCAGTACTAGGCCCATTAACACCTATGAACATCCACTGAAATCCATCCCCAATGTTTCTGAACGACATCGATATTGAGAACAATCCTACACTCACCTCCTCCATCTCAAGCACTCTGGTGTCCCACATGACTAATATGCCTCCAGAAACCCCTGATGATCCCATAAACTGATACCCTACATGCTGACCACCCCATAAGCTACTGACCACCGCCCTCGAGATGACCTCTATATTGGTTTCTTGTAAGCATACAAGATCCGCTCCCCACCTTAACAGATGTCGAACACCCATCCTTTTCCCAACTTCATTAAGTCCCCTTACATTCCAGCTAATGATTCATGGTATCATTTTAACAGTCCAGCATCCTCCCCAGTACTCCATTCTTGGACTCACCACCCTTGCCATCATAATTAACTGACCATTCGAGCCTCTTAAGTTCACGATCGCCCTTTCTTCTTAATTTACCTTCTTGTTTACTTATCTCCTGTCCTCTATTGGCCTCCAAATCCTCAAACAATTGTAGTAATCTATTTTCGTATCCATCACAAGACACGCCCATTAACTTACTGAAATCCTGAATTTTCTGTAGAACCCAGTTCGAAGGTGGGTGTCCAGCTTCGAATCCAATCCGTTCCCCTGTTTCCTCCACCTGTATAACATCATTTTCTATTTCTCCCTTCTTGGCTCCATCTGCCCACAACACCAGTGCTTTTTCCGTCCCCAAGTCACTTACCTTCATTGACTTAGAGTTTCTTCTATTATATGTGTTCGCAACCCTTGTTGTCAAAGGTGTCGTGTCGTGCTCTATCACCCCTGACAGTACATGCCTCGTCCCTTGGTCACCTAGTAAAAGCCCATCATTGTGTGGGACTGTGCCCATTGCACCCATCGTTACTGTCTCCAAGTTCACCATACTCGGCTCCCCTTCTTTAGACAAAGGTACCACCTCTCGGTGTACATCGGTCCCCGTGTCTACCTCATCCATATCCATCCCCTCTAAGACATCACCTTTGTCATATTTAGAGTGTCCCTCATCCGTTTCAATCCGATCAATAGACTCACAAGTGATTTTGAGTCTTCCCTGCTTTACTTGATTATGTGCCGATTCCTTCTTATTCAAACCCGATGCTTGTTTTCCAACAGCTGGATACTCATCCATACCCACCCCACACTTGTGGCAACATAACAACTTCTTGGGGCACATTTCATACCCACTTCCCACTAGCCTAATCAATTCCTCCAACGCTCCTTTCAATTCCTGGACACGGGCCATAATTTCAGCCCTATTCAAACAACAATCCTGACCTTCGTTTGCACTGACATTGACAATCATCTCCTTGTGCTGTTGCGTCCGCTGGTCAGCATGCTTCGAGGCATGTAAGTTTGGTGTTACGTCTGCATAAGTCAATCTTTGTCGATTACATTCATTCACCGGTCAACGTTTGGCCTTATCCCCAGCAACAAAAGAATCAACAACAGTTTGAAACACCCGCAAGATTGATGCCCATCCTTCTCCATTCGCACCTTCTGGCACCATCACAACTCCCTTCCGATGCCTATCCTCATACTGCGCTATCATCAAGTACCTACCACGGCGGTTCGCACAACGCTGTGCCAAGAAGGCTCTTGATGACCCATTGAACCTAGAAACGAAATCCTCATGCTTACTAGTCACCCTCAACTTGTCCACCATATTCACCATCCAAAGTGCACCGAACCTTCCCATGCTAATTACATTCGATATCTTCGAGCCCAATTCGGTCATTCTAGCAGCACCAAGATTGGTAACAGAAATTGCAAACTCCTTCGCCTCAACTCGAAAACGGTGATTGAAAGCCACATCAAATTCATCCACTAACTTCCCTGATTGTGTGTGAACAGCATATTAGAAGGCAAAATAGGCATCGTTACTAGACTGGGGATATTCTGCCACGCGCTGTTCCGGCAGCGCGTGGGTCCCTCAATGCCGCCACCCTCGTCGGAATCGCCTGCGCAGCCCGCCGGTCAAGCGCATTTGCCAAGCAGGTGGCCGGATTTTGATGAATCTGGATCGGGATACCCTGTTTTCCCGCCTCTACACCGATATCGGCGTCGTTGTGTCCAGCTAGGGCGGCGTACTAGGGTTTCCACCTAGGGCCGCCGCCTGATTGTGTGGCTTATTAAGTGGCATGAGGCCGGTGAATGGGGATTGGCCGGTCGACGTGATGTTACCGTCGCCAGCGACTATAGCAATTGATGGTGATGGGGTGTTCGGTGGCTGGCTAAGGGTGTGGTGTTTGGATGTTAGGGAGGAGAGATCCATTTTTTATGACAACATATGTCATATAAAAAAAACACTCAGGGAGAAGCATAATCGTTATACGCTTTTACAATGATCATAACTGTGGAAAAATCTAGAAGATTTGAATCTTGGGTAGATGGTTGATTGCACAGCAATTTCTGGAAGTTACCCATTCGGCAGGAAATCTGTTACATATTTGTTTCTATCTATTTCCTTATTTGGGGTCAATTTGTTTTCTTATTTGTTTCTCAGTTTTCTAATTTTTCGCTACTTTTCTCATTTCTCTCCACTTTGCAATTGTATAAATACCAATGTACTCCAGTGTATGGTGAAAGAGAGATATAATAATTCGATTCATAATTGCTTTTGTGGTATCTGTCCGCTACTCATTAAAAGAAATGTGCATTTTATAAATTTTGATGAGAAAAAATAAATCATGCCTACAAACAATAAGTAAATGATATTAACCCAGCTAACAACGTAAGTTTTTAGATCAAAGTAGTTCAACATGATATAAAAGCCAAGTTTATGGCCCAAATTGCTAGAAAATAAATATTCTCTCATCAGTTTTCCCCCAAAAAAGAGAGAAAATTTGATTTTTAGCCTCTAATTCTAAGAACAAGATGAAGTGTTCTCCTAGGAAAGGATCCACCATAGAAGTATTTGAAGAGGTTTGCACCAAAGATTGTCACCAAAGTGTGAATATGAGTAATTTGAAAAACATATTCCCAAGCACACACTATAATTAGGAAACTTGCCGGACGTTTCACAATCCACATTCAAATGCTCTTGAATTTTACAGATCACATGATAATATTATTTTGTCTTTCTTCTAATTCCTTTTCACCTTCAGACTTCTTGTACTAAGAGTTACGCAGTCATCATATCTGAACACCTGCTTTCATCAATTTTTTTCTCATTGCACCGCCAAGAATTTGAACAACCATACTTTGAATCTGAGCTTGTGTAGAAACAGCATCTACAAAGTTATGCCATCACTCTTTGAAGGTGAGCACAAGCTTCCATGGCAAAAAAGAGATAATTTTCCTATACTTATTTGTTTGGACTCAAGAGGATCCCACCATGTTTTCTCATTTCCTAATCAGGAATAGTTTGTCAATTCCATAAATTATTATTCTTTGACATACGTAAACGGACACTTATATGAGTTAAGGTTTTCTCTATCAAACATCAAATTTGGTAAACCCTAAAACAAGATGGTTCGCAGAGTCAAAACACAAACGGCCAGCCTGATGCGCAAGGCTTATCCTGATTGTCCAATACTTCTCCTTTATAGCATGCCATACTAAATTTAACATGTTATACAATACACACTTTGCTTTGGCATTGAGTTCAAGATCTCGTATTCATTTTGTCCTTGTTCTTCAGCTCCATTTACAGTCTGTTACACGTACCACACCCCACCCATGAGAGAGCTGATCTTTTGACAATGTTTCTGTAGGTTATTTATCCACTCAGCAGGGGGTGTGTATAAGTGGAAAAGGTGCAATGTGATAGGTACCTGATGTGTAATGTATTTTTGTGCATATATCGAATGAAAAACAGATGGAAATTTAAAGGAATTACAATAGATTGTGAGCATTCAAGAGTCTGACTCTCTCCCCTTTGATACCCTAATTTCTGCCTAAAAACAAATGAAACGCTACCCCCTATTTATACGTAAAAACCTATTCAACTTATTGTATTTAATCCCCATAATACCCCTACATAAATGACAGTTGAATTAACTACTAATCTGGGGTTCTATCACAATGTTCATGATTTGATCCTTCTTAATAGCCACCACTTCATGGTGAATGAGATTTTATCAAATTAATTTAAGAGGAGATTTGAGAATTACACAGATAAATACTAAACCAGGTATACATAATGCACACAAAATATTAACCGCAATAAACTAGTAAAATTATTAGGCATCAAACTAAGAAACCCAATCACCAACATTTCACCTGGCTCATATACTTGCTGAATGATAATCCCAATTATTCCACTCCCTGCTAAAAATCCTTAGATTTCAATTGGAGAAAGTAATTCGTAAACCACCAAATCAATTCTCTGCACACTGACTCAACTGTATTCTTGCCCTAGTCTGCTGCGTCAATTCTTTCCCTTATCCATTCAGTTTAAATGTCACACTATTTAAAGATAGCGAACACGGATGATAGCATAAAGGCCAAGTTGAAAGAAACAGAGCAGTTAGCAAAGACACACCTAGAAGTTAGCATCTCTTCTAAGATAAGCAAGTGCTAGTTCTAAAGATTCCCAGGAGAAACAGGGATGTTTCCAACTTCACCCATAATACAGGGAATATCACCATATTGTAAACAAAAACATTTGTACATACTTAATTGACTTCAGTAAACATGGCATGTCTATCTTGAGTTTCAACTAGAGATGTATTATGGTTATGTTATCCCCGCCAAGACCCCAGCCTCATCTCCAAGCTTAGGAGCATCAGGTCAGTGGTGTATCAACAGTCAAAGCAGCACTATTTTCAGATCTATGATTCATTATAGTTGACTCAGCTATAATAAGAACCTCTACTATAACAAGTCAAAACAGAAGAGAACCTGGCATGATCCTTTAATGCTTTGTTAACTTGTCGAGCTGCCGTACGCTTGACTTCATCAATTGTCATCTGAGGGAAAACAATAATACTAACATTAAAGTGCAAAGGGAGACGCTCCACTTCTGTGGAGTATAAATCTGTAAATATAAGTTTTTAAAAGCTTTGTGCAACTGATGCACAGTTACCAAACACAAAGAAAATCATCAATTACATTCTCAAGTTCAAAGGAAGATAATCATGCTAAATCTAAACTTCGTAACAGCTGCAGTTGAAATCTGCATTTGTAATTGATTATCATTTCATCTGTAGTAGAACTTTATAAAAATTCCCTCTCTCACATGTTAATATTGAGGTATGCTACCAAAGAGAACTTCTTCAAGTGTTCACCAAATAAAACCCCTGATGTAATACAGAATTGAAGGAACTCAGAGGCATGTACAATGAACCGCCGCCGGGTGGGGAGGGGGGTGGGGGGGTGCCTAGAACACAAGGGTCCAGCAACTATTGGTTTTTGAAGGAGAATTATGTGCAGGTTACCTTACCCCTGTGGGAAGCAAAGTCATTCCCACAACTAGAGTAGGACAAGAGGATTGTAATCCATCAAACAATAAAGGGTGTCCTTGGAATTAAAATGTTTACAATTGTCATATATGCAGCCTTAACCTGCAATGGACATGCTACGTGAAAATTTTACACCCACAAGTTATTGGAAGTATTGAGCAAAAGTATTCGGTTACAAGTGTTTCTTGATGTCTTGGTCCATCTACATTGGGAGGTAAGGATTTTCAAGAGGTAGTCTTGAGAACCTAATCCGAGGGAGATTTTTCATCTCAGATTTTTTAGATTGAGAGGCAAGTTATCAACACCAAGCAAGGCTCCTTGAGTGTCTCATAATTATACAACACCAATAAATGCTTATCTACAAAATTAGAACTGTCTGACAATGTAGTTATGGCTCCATATAAAGATGCTTAAGGGTATGGTGGAGAGAGAAAGGGTGATCCAATTCCTTATGGACCAAAGTTTACCGTGTGAACAAGCTCATGGACACTAATCAGGTGTTCAGAAAAGTTTCATTTGCACACATACATGATGCCTTCACACACATCCGGATAGAGGAAAGCCGCAAAGAACTGATGGGGAAACTCCATGGATCTTAATGTAGAACTTAGCATTAAACAACTCTAAACTAGGCTACTATTCAGGAACAAGAAAGCTACGGATCAGGGTAACCTTTGGTTTGAGAGGTATCAAAAACAGTTACAATAGGAGATATTATGTATTCTTTATTTAGCTGAAGTGATATGGTATTAAGATAATATATTTTCCATCCGAGATAGGATTGCACTTTCATATATAATCTCCACAAAATATGGCATTATCACCAGACTACATGTTATTACACACCACAACGGAACGGCATAACACAGCATAAAAACCGACATGTCTTAGAGGTCCTGAGGACCTTTTTTTAAGTGAAAACATCATCTCAGTCTCAATGTGATTTTAGGCTCCATCATAGCAGGACAGAGCGGGTCCCTACCGTGGTATATGAAATAGAAATGTATACGAAAGAGGGGGCAACATCGATGCCAGAAAATGCAATCTTAAAGCAGTAAATGAGGAGATGCTGCCTCATGTACAAAAGTAATAAGATAAGAAAAAAGCCTAGGGGCCTCTAACCGTTGACAACTCATGTCAGTCAATCTGCACAGCTGCTCCCATTGCTCAATAGCGAGTCAGCTATCTGATTTCCTTCACGAAAGATACGGAAAACCGCAGCATTATTGAGGGAAACTAGATGTCTCGTATGTCCAAGAATAGACTGGACAGACCATATTCCTCCCCCATATGTGAAGCAGTGGATCACAGCAGAAGATTCCGCCTCTGTTCATAAACTCGAGAGTCCCAAGTCGATGCGCAGTAAGAATACCATCAGGAATGGCTCACAACTCAGCCTCAAGAATCTGGCAGCTGCCATAAATCAATGCCTCCTCATATCTAGTGTCATGACATTAGTCTATCACGTGTGCCTTAGTTAAGTATTTGGATGCAATTGTTATGTCCATGAAAGCTTGATCCTCATTCTCTTAATAGTTTCTTTCATGGATATTATAACTCCTAAAAGGCTATAAATGTTCTGATCCTCATACTGATTAATTCTATGTGCTTGTTCCAGTTAGAATACGAGTTTATGTAAATATTTTCTTCTGACTTATATCCCATTCACTAGTACGTGGTTAAGTACAAAGGCAAGTTACGATGGGACAGTGTCCATCTCTAAGGCTTCATCTTTGGCAATTCTGAAGAACATACTGGCCCTACATTCACTGCAACGAAGCTACATAGAGTTGAAACTACATGGTTATTCAAAGTGATTCAAAAATAAGCAAGCTCAGAAGAAGAAAACTGCTCAGGTTGCTACCACTGTTTCCTCTCCGTCTTTTAATGTTACAAGATAATTTAACCAAGATGACAATTGGAAGTGCTAGAAAGGGGAGGTTTATAGTACTTGGAGTTGCAATCAAAGTCAAGCAACGATTTCCAAATAGGACGACATTCTATACATCGACATCCAAATTGGACATGTCATATCGATTCACCAATTTGAGAAAGAGAAGTTAGAATAGGAGATTATGAAAATATTTCCTTTTAGCTTATATCATAGGTTAATTAGGAATTAATATTTTTCTTTAGTAATAGGATCATGTATTCTTTCATTTTTATTTTCCTTCTATTGATAGGATTGTACTCCAATATATAGGTTTGATTTAGTATGTAATATATCATTCAACTAAATATAAAATTGTTATAATTAGCATGATCTTAGGAACTAATTATATCGGTGTAATTAGAATTATTTTAGGATCTAATTGCATTATTGTAGTATAATTAACTTAATTGTAAGAGTAAAGATAATTATGAGAGGATTTTAGGAACTAAATTATACAAATTAATTTTCTTTTTAACCTATATAAAGTGTAACCTTGTAATGTTTCATTTCACAGAATTATGTTTTTCCACGTGATATCAGAGCGGCTTTTACCTTGCTTCCACTAGTCCAAATTATTTTTTGACATGTTCCTTTCGATTAGCATTTTTTAAGAAGATTTAGACCATTTGTAAGTGGATTCAAATCTAAATCATGACACCTTATTCCTTTCTCTGCCAATTCATGTTTTTTAGAACTCATCCAATTTCTTTTTACCTTCAAGTTTTTGAGGGTTGGTTTTCTTCATTTCTTTGCCATTTGCGGCAAGTAGAATTTCTAGGAGTTTTGGTTGTGACAATTCAGTCAAGTACTTCGTTCGCAACTTAAAGTGCAACTTCTGTTCCTTGGATCATTGACTCAAAAAGCCACAGACCACATGAGTAGCCATTCTAATTTGTATGTCTCCTACACTACATGCTCAGGAAGACAAAAGGTGAAAGTGGTGGATAGTTTGATATCATAAAAAAAGGCGTATTCTATCTCAAAAACTCTTATTTCTCGACTCAGGTTTACATGTTCTGAGTCTCTCTTGTAACCTCATTTCAAATAGAAATATTAGCAAAGATCTTAATATGCTGCTAATTTTTTCATAAGTCACTATGAATTCCATGACATGCATACTGGAAAGGTCATCCGTAGTGGTAAGGAGATTGATGGACTTTATCATTTCGTAAGAGAACCGACTAGTTTAGCTGATCTATCTCATATACACAAGTACACAAATCTCAACTTTCAATCAAGAAATAGAGTTTATCATAAAAGATTAGGTCGCCCAAATTTCTCATACTTGAAAAGGTTATTCCCCACATTGTTTAACAACAAAAGTATCCTTGAATTTCAATTTAAGGCATGAACTACCCAAACATGATCGTGCACATTTCCATGCACAAAACTATAAGAAATCTCAACACTTCTCTCTCATTCATAGTGATATGTTGGGACCTTTTCAAGTCTATAATATTTTTTTGGGCTACATGGTTTATCTCATTTATTGATTATCATACTTGGGTATTTTCAGTCTTCGAAGAAAAATATGAGGCAACGAAATAATTTCAAAATTTTCATAAGATGATTGAGACCCAATTTAATATATATATGACTTTGTATCGATAATAGGAGAATATTATTTATCAATACGTCATTCATATCTAGCATAAAAATGTGGTTGTACACCAGTTCTAGTATGGATATACCTCAACAAAATGGGATACATGGGTGAAATAATAGACATCTCCTAGAGGTAACTATAACTATAATGTTTACCATATGTGTGCCAAAACATTTTTTAGGTAAAGCAGTTTTTACAACTACTTACCTTATCAATAGAATGTCGTCAAGGACCTTAGATCCAAAACTCCACTTGATACCCTCCAAGACAAATATCCATCAAAGTTCCCTCCCATATAAAATCTTTGATTTTAGATTGCGTTATATTTGTCTATACACATGATCATAATAGAGGGAAATGAGATCTGAAGGCTTTCAGATGCATTTTTAAGGATATTCTTCTACTCAAAATGAAGTGCTATCATCCTTAAACAAGGAATTTTTTCTAATCCATGGATAACATTCTTCGAGAACGCTCCTTTTTTACCAAATTTTCTTATAAGAAGAAAGTAAAGTTTTAGCTCAACCTAGCCAGATGTTGTCTTTCCTTCTATTTCTCAAACCCAACCTTCAGTAGCACCTAACATTGATATGCACCCTAATACTTAACAGACCCTTGCACCGGTAGCCATGAATAGGAGTTATAATATCTCTAGCAGTCAATCTAGGTAGGCATTTAAGGCAATTTAATGTCAAGAATGCTTTTTCCATGCACTCCCAAGGTTCACAACTTCATAAGGTAAAGTATGTAAACTACAGAAGGTCGTGTATGGATTGAAACAGCCACCAAGAGCTTTGCTTGGTAGGCTAAACTGCTCGGCGAAGCATGATTTTACATCACGCTCTGATCTTTATTTTTATTTTTATTTTTATTTTTATTTTTTGATAGGTACATATCACGCTCTGATCTATAAAAAACATGGTGATGTATAGCTTATTATGTATGCCAATAACAGGTATTAACTCTAGCAAAATAGAGAAACTTCAAACTATCTAGCCAAGGAATTTTAAAAAAAGGATTTGGGAACTCTAAAATGCTCTTGAGCGTTGAAGTGTCTCGGTCAAAACAATGGCTTCTTCTCTCCGAATGAAAGTATACACTAGATCTCTTGGCAGAAACTGGCAACTCTATGAGCCTATAGGCACTCCAATTGTGGTAATTGGTAAATCATGATCCATCTATCTACCTTAATCCCCTAACAAACAAAGGAAGGGAGAAAAGACTAGCAGGGAAGTTGATCAATCTAACATACACCATCTATGACTTGTCGTATTTAATGTGAGTCAATTCATGCATAATCCAAATAATCGGCACATGAATGCAATTAATCGTATATTAACATGTTTAAAATCCTCGCCAGACAAAGGTATTCCATTCTCCAAACATGGACATCTAAATATTATGGATTATATAGTTTCTAATTTTGTTGGATCGAGATTGGATAGAAAGTTTACATCAAGGTATGTATCATTTGTTCGAGGCAATTTGGTGACTTGGAGTAAGAAACAAAATGCCGTATCAATGTCGAGTGCTGATGCTGAATACCGTGCTCCCCATCATACAACTACCAAATTTACATAGCTGAAAATACTTCTTAGCGAGCTTGGATTTGGTCCAAAGAAACCCATGTTACTTTCTTGTGATAACGCAGCAACTACTGGGAGAATTAATTATCGAGTACAACATGATCGAACCAAACCAAGCACACTGAACTTGACAAGAACTACATAAAAAAAATAAAAAATAAAAATGAACATCTAGCACACCAATCTGTCCAATTGTTAAAGCAATTTTTCCACCTGCTGTTTCAGACCATGAATATTGATTGTTTTTCATTGAGAAAAATTGCACGCTATCTAAATATCATGTCCCCTATGAAAGATTCATCTCATTTGTCTGCATTTACCTCAATTCCCCCATCCCCCAACCAAAATTTCCAAATCATAAAATGATCAAGCGTGTCAACAGATCGGAAAAATTAAAATTCTAATGGATATCATAAGTGAAAAAGAAATGAAAAATTTTCCAAAACAATGGAGAAATCCATAGTTAGACTTGTTAGAAAGGATTAGATACAGACCTGCACTGCAGAAGCAGTTTCCAGAGCTATAGTCTGACTTACAGCAACGTTGCTTTGAAAAAAGTTAATAATTTGATCAATGGAATCCTTCAAGTACTGGGCCAACACATCTAATCAGTGAGAAGCCAGAAAATAAATAACAGATTTTTTATGAATAATAAATTATGTCTTACAGTCACATAACAGGGTGAAGCTTTGGCAACAAAGCTCCAATCTACATCAGCATCAAAAGGCTTATAGCAGAAGACACCAAATAATGAATCGTAAGAACTTTCACTCTGAAAAGAAGATGAAACAATTCGTAAAATGGAGCCACTGACTGCTGGAAAACAGAGAAGAAAAAGGGGATTCAAATCACAAATCCGATAGAAAAGATGCTACCTCAGCAAGAAGACCATTCGGAGATAACAGTCTGTATGATCCCAATTTTATATCAAAAATTTTAGCCTCTTTATAAAGCTTTATGTAGCAATCAAGATTATCACAGGATAGATCAGCAAGGCACTCCTTAGAATCAATAAGCTTTGAAGCATTGTGTTTCATGTGAACCTCCAATGCAATATGGAGCACATCACCCTTGTCATGGATCAACAATTGTTCATCCTCACCTACCTTGTATCCAATTATATTATTTAATCTCTCCCAATCTTCTTCAGTCAAAGTTCCTGGTACATTCTCATCTTTGACAGGTTGGTTGGTCCTAAGATAGTATGTTGTTATAATCCAAAAATGGTAAGCTCGTAAGATTGTTAGGAGTGTAAAAGGAATCACTATCAAGAAAAAATTACCATCCAAATGACCACCATGATTTCTTTGCTTGTTGCTTGTTTTGGTAGAGATCTGACCCCATCGATTGCTCCACAAACTTGTGGGCCAGCATCCTGTTCAAAGAATGGATATAGCAATTACCTCTAACTCGCAGATGCCAAAATCTAAAAGAAAAATCGGTTAACAGTAATATCTTACTAGCAATTTAGTTAATGCACGAGGTGCCAAATAGATATCATGCATACCAAATTATGTTAATTTAATTAAACAGAAACATAACATTCTGTAGCATTGGGCAATCTATAGAATATGTTATACTTGGGGAAAAAATAAATAAAAATTAAGCCAAAAGAATAATAAGAGAAAAAGCTCAAAAGTATGTGATTCACTTCTTAAGTGGGTAAATAGAAACTCTTGAAGCCATTAGAAGACAAATGAGAAACAAGCAGAAACAGCAACCTCGGTTATGTGGATGCTTGGACTAAGTGGAAACAAAAGAAACTCTACTTTTGCAGACAGACTCCCAAAGGATATCCCTAAATCAGAAAGATACACAGCAGGTACATAATACGTTAACAACCATTCCCCTGCCCACCCTCACCCAAAAAGTGAGAACACAACAGTGGTTTCTTGGAACTCACATGAACAGCATATAGCATAGATTCATCGCAAAGTAACAAATCAAAGCATATACCTCCACTGAAGAATGACTTCAATATCAAGCTCACGATCTAGTTCCTCAATCTCTTTGTTATCATCAACTATTATCCGATCAGGATCCGATTTAAGCAGACTAGCATACAAAGATATATATTTCTTGCGTAATCTTGCATATCGCAGGACATGCTCCCATGATAATTTACCACTGGCAGAAAAGACAAAAATTAGAAAACAGTAACGAGAAAAACCAAATTTGTGCAAATCATTTAACTTTTCCTCTTAGCAACTCCTACAGCTTTCAACAGAGAGATCAAGCAAGAGAGAGAGGGAATTGACCAGACAATACTCGAACACTTGACATTATCATCACACAAACTGTGAATATTACTTCAGACCTGAATAAAAGTATTCAGAGCAGAAAGCAAAAACTAGAGACAATGACCTAGCTCAAGTGGAAGAGCAAAGCCTTACCAGGTCATTGACCTAGGTTCGAGTCTCACGTGCGAGTAAAGGTGAAACTAAAGAAGAAAAAATGAATTAAAAACTCAGACGAAACTTCAAACTTAATGTCCAAATAAAATGCAACAAGGAGAGTGCATGTGTATTATACTCATTTTTGTCAAAATTATAGTCTTTTATGATGCTCCACAGAAAAATTTATATTTCTTAATAGCATGTTAAGCTTATGCAAGTTTTTATAAAATAACATGACACTTTGAGAACATGGCAAAATGTTCGATATAATAAATAATTAGATGGGTACCTCGCCGCCTTCATCTGGTCAGAAACTGCTCTGTAGGCATACTTCCACCAAGACCTTGGATCTGTTTTCAATGAAGTAAGTGGACGATAGTGGGCATATTTTAATCTTTGATTGAAGGCCGCAAAATTATCAGCTAATTTTAACAAATCCCGATAACCATTCTGCATATACACACAGAGAATAGAAGTGACTTATTCAAGATCATCTATGTAAGGAGATTAAATGGGAGAAAGACTCTAAGCAGCATGAGGGGGAAATGGTGTGAAGCCAATAGACATCTAGCATTAAACCAACCATTGACAAGCAGAGAGTGACATCATCTAAATTCACAGTCGATTTCTGCATTGGTTGATCGCCACTAGCAGATAAATTTTGACGCTCTTTTGAATACATTGCATTTCCACTCACTGGTTGCAGAACATAAGAATGCTTCTCCAAAGTACCAGCAGCAGGTTTTCCATCTTTTGTGCCAAATTTGAAAATCTGAAGCTTTCGGATTAGATCAAGTCATAGAGTTTACAGCAAGAAAATTGTCCGCATCAAACTAAGCATACCTGAGCCCATTCTGACGGTAGCAAATCTTCCCATGGTTTATCAACATACCATGAACTTATATCAGAGTCGAGATAAACAGCCAACCTTTCAAGTTCCACTGCCTGACATTTTACAAAAAGAATCATGTAAATAACAAAATAAAAGAAAATTATATACAGACCCAAAGCACTGTGAAAATAACAAAAATTATTTCAGGTTATTCAAGTACACATGGATAACAAGTGATACAACAGAGTAAATTACATTAAATGATTCATCTCTTATCCCCAGCTATTTCCAGAAACAAATACGATAACCATTTTGAACAACTGCAGTACAGAAAAGTACTCAAAAATCTATTTGACAAAACCACGAGTTAAAATACACTAAAGATATTTCTCCCTGCTCAAACACGCGATATGATTCAACTGTAAGTGAACTACATTCTATATTCTATTGCTAAAGAGTTAAGATATAAGACAAATGAATAGATCTCCCTTTCTCTAACACTAAATTGTTAGACTATTAGTGAACTAGTTGCTATATTCTGCGGCATACCTCTAGATATTTTTGTTGAAGATATTAACACATATAAATAAACTTCTAGCCGGATTCAACATAGAATCAAAGCAGACAAAGGTCCGAAGTTGAATTCTAACTGCCAATCATTTATGTATATTAAATATGCCACCTTTGATTGGGAGGGGGGCGGAATTGAGTTGCACATGAGGAAATGTTTTGACAGTATAAATGTAAAAAATTCAATTGTCATCTCTCTAAAAGCTTAAGCTTCTACATGAGCCGGATTAACATTCCCATAAAAAATTTAAGCGCAGGTCATTTGCTTTGTCCTCAATCATTGGTATTATTTCGATA